TGAGACGCACCGACAGCTGCGAAATATGCAATTACCTGAAATAATTAGTAGTGTGAATTCACATAATGTTTAATGAATACGACGGAATGTCATCGTATCTTCCGAATTAGATGGTAGGACAATTTAAATGAAGCTCTGTGCTTCCTATATAGAAATGCTTCAGTGTGTGTAAGGAACAATTCTAGTATTTTGTTAATGAGGTAAACCTTTTTGGTGTTTTCAGTTTTACCGGCTCCAGATTCACCGGTGATCAACATCGACTGATTTTCGTGATCTTGAAGCATATTTCGATATGCTTCATCTGAAACGGCGAACAAGTGGGGTGGCATCTCAGTTCTTCTCTTGCCCATGAACATTGCTGCTACAGAATCCGTGTAAATTGGTAAACGTTTGTATGGGTTGATCACAACGCAGAATAGGCCAGAATATGTCTGAAAATTATTCGTATTTTAGGAAGAAATGATCGAATTTGGAGTCAGTTCATCATGTATGTACTGAAAGTATTCAACCTTTTCATGTGCACAAAAACAGAAACGGTAAAAATACTCACATAGATGAGCATAGAAGCATATCGTGCTCGTAGATTGTGAAGTACAGATGCATCGTTCAAGAATGTCAAATTCGACATATCTTCAGTCTTTTCGAACTTTGGTGGATTCATCTCTTGCACAAGTTCCGATTTCAGTGTCACCTGGAAGAACAGATGTTTGACAAGCACGAAAAATATTTTCGAATGTTTCACCGAAACGTCATGAAACTCCTCAATAAAACTAAAAATTTATTCTCTGAGAGGCTTTCTTTTGAACTCTTTATGTTATGGTGATCATTCGGGAATACTGCCTCTGAGGTCATAGGATCATCCAGAGGATTACCTCATTTCCTCGGGATGTGACAACTGCGACCATATCACCTTTGGTGCTCTTAACTTGAGCCGAAATGAAGCCTTCTTCGGCGTCTGGAACCCAACAATCCTTTTTCGAGTCATATGGCTTCGACTGATCCTGAAAATATACATGGACGATTCCTCAAACAATTGCGTAAAGAAATCAATGAATCAAGTGTTCATTCAGCGTAGCATATTTTTGCTGCTCTTTAGTAAACCGCTTATAATTGTAGTCAAAATTTATGGAGTATTACGTAAGGTTGAACTGATGAAGTGTCGTCAGAAGGTATGGATCGCAAGAGACCTGATATGATTATCGCCATCAAGATAAATTGATTTTTCGCAAAGTTTCTAAGTGATCAAACGAAATACTCAGTAAAATCCAATGTGCTACCAGGCGTTCAAGTATGAGAAACCTATGAGATGTGGTAAATCTCTCAACAGATTCGAAAACCAGTACGGTGAATTATCCAAGCAAAATCGAATGAAGCTTGCGAAAAAGCGACTCAAATTCATATAGAGTCAATAAAGTACCGCGATCATTTGTTCGCGTGATTGCCTTAGATACTGCCATCCTGGATCGTTTTCGTAGTCCATTGTGTATGTTTGAGCTCTGGTTCACCAACAACAAACGGGTGTACCTCCAAGGTGCTAACAATAAAGGAATAATATAAAGTTTAATAATAATCACAATTAATTCTATGGCTAAACGAATCATTTCGGTGCTCGCATCTCAACAAAATTCAAAACGATGATAGGCGATGACTAACATGAGTTTAGAACAGAGGAAAAGAACAGAAAGGTAACGAATAAGGAAAGGAACGGGAACGTTGATTGAATTAATTGAGAGATTTGAATGAGGGTTCAGTGCAGTGTTCCTTGAACTTGTCGGTCCACTGGAAGTACTCCAGGGACATTCACTAACTGACTTGAACTGCTAAGAGGGTTCGAGTTGCGGGTAACTGAGGGAAGAGAAACCGAGAGGTCAATTTAACAAAGCAGTCACAGCGCTGACGGTAATAACAAGAGCAACAGCTCCTGATGTAAATAATATACGATATTTCTAAAGTCCTCATTCGTTGGTTCATAAGGTTGGTGCAGTTGTTAAATTATTGTTGACGTTGCGTAGTGAGGAAGCTAATGGTGGTTGAAGAATTCGTAATCCAACTCAAATCCTGATGAAAGGATTTAAGGGAGAAGTGAAGAGCCGGATGAATGAGGAAAATCCTGCGAATTATCAAGAGTAGCTGAATCTGCAACTGGCGGTT